TTATAAAAAAAGTCCCTCGCTCTCCCCCCCCCCCGCATACATGTGCACCTAAAGACCATGTGCTGGCATGCAGACATTGTGTTTCTTTTTTGTGTGTCATCATTTCCAACCCACAAAAAAAGCTAGTGAAAGTGTTTTCTTCCTACGTGTCCCCCGGCCCCCCCACCCCTGCCGCTGCTGAGATCCCTCAGAACGGCTTCAGAAATGACACAGAAGCGTTGGCAAACACGGCAGAAGTGACTTGCGCATCCTCAGTTCGCCCGTCCTGTGCAACAGTCAAAGAAGGAACTCGCGCCTATCCCCCGCAATGAGGCGCAGGAGTTCCCCTTTCTGACACTGCAGGAAACAGAGCGAGCAGAGACTGTTGTGGTTCCCGTAGGTCTCTTCTGAGGGTGCTTCCACAGAACTGCCCGGACGGACGTTGTCTGCTCACGACCCTTCCGTGAATTTGCATTTTTCAGCTAATTGCGGGTTGGAAATAAGGACGCACCAGAAGAAGAAGAAGAACAACAAGAAGAAGAGCCATGAATGACTTCACTGTAGTCCATGGTCTTTATGCACGGGGATGTGGGCGGGGAGAAGCCAAGCGGTCATCTATGATGGAAAATGTTGCCATCAACCACAAAGCAGTCTGGGGTGGGGCAGATTCTTCCTGAGGCCAAGAGGATTGGGTAAAATAGATGTGAAAGTCTGCTGGTCCAGTCTCTAATTAGCTGGTATGAACACCTTTCTTTTTTGTAATATTTTATTATTTTCAATGGGATGAACACCTTGTTTTTCCCTGGCAGGGCTGAGGCAGCTGGCATTCCCTTTGTTTTATTTTATGTCAAGCATTCTAGAATGCGGGATCCAACCCAAGCAGTGTTCCCTCTAAGCTGAGTTAGTGTGAGCTAGCTCACAGTTTTTTAGCCTCCGGCTCATGCGTTTTTGTCCTAGCTCAGGAAGGATGGCTCCAGAACAAACTAACTTATGCAGGATCCAAATTGCTCGCTCACAACTTTAATGCAAGTAGCTCACAAAGTAGAATTTTTGCTCACAGGGCTCCACACCTTAGAGGGAACATTGCTGCTGAGTAAGAAGTAAACCTCCTTCTTGCTCTCAGTGTTGTATTCAGCCAATGGCCCTGATCCAGATGATTAAACCCACACTTGAACCCTATGTCGGAAGGGAGTTGCAACCCCAGATATCTTGTTATTTTCAACAGTGTTTAGCTACAGGTAACTTTAGCTGGATTGAGGATAATGTGGTAAAAAGTAGTCAGGTTGACTAGCAAACAATTGACAGGCATTAATTTTTTTCAAAATTTTGGAATGTAAAATAACCATCCCCACCCCAAGGTACCCTTAAACCTGACTTACCACAGCAAAAGTTTCCAGCTAAGTTACCCCCCCCACCAGCCCAGTCAGTGTGTCCATCCAGAGCCGGCCCCAGCTTATTTTGCACCCTAGGCGAGGATCCCTTCTGCCCCCCCCATGCGCCCACCATTTTTCAATAATAAATGTATTTTAGGAAGAATGAAAAACACAAATAATCAAGAAACTCCCAGAGTACGGGGCCAGGTGCAGTTTGGCGCCCCTAAGGGCCAGCCCACTCTAGGCGATCGCCTAGTGAGTGAGCTGGCCCTGTGTCCATCCCCAGCACTGTTTATTTAAATTAGCCATAGAGATGCCGTGGGGTGCAGGATTTGCATTTCCCCCCCACCTTTTCCACCTAAGGGGAAAACGGATAGCGTTTTTGTATCAGGCCATTTTCCTTCTGTAAAGCAAATCTGGACTCTTCTTTAATTCCACAGAAGATCCCAGTCAGGTTGTTTGTGGTCTGTAGTAAGGGTGAAATACCCACAAAATTTCCTCTGGGCAGTAAATCTTCTGCATCCTTCTTGCCCAACAAGGGGCAGGGACACACTAGGGTTGCCACCTCCAGGTGGAAACTGGAGATTGGCCGGGATTGCAACTGATCTCTAGACTACCTAAATCAGTTCCCCAGGGGAAAATAGATGGTTTGGAAGGTAGGTCCTATGGCAGGGGTCGGCCAGCACCTTTCCTGGCAACCCACCAAGAATGTTTAGAAAGTGGGTGGGGCTTCTGCTGAGCAAAGCTTCTGATGGGCCATTGGGAGATCTGATTGGCTGTGCAGGGTTTTAAAAATATTCTGCAGCAGCTGCTGCAACAGTGCAAAGTTCTTCTCTGTGTGACTGCAGCTAAGCTGTGGCGCCCTGCTGGAGGTTGAAATCCAAACCCAACATCCGTGACAAAAATAACGAGTTCATCATTTGTACAAACAGAGAATTGGCCAAAAAGACTCACACAACCATTTTTAACTTTAAAAGGGGTAATTTCTCTGATATGAGGGGACACGTGGGGAGGAAACTGAAAGGAAAAGTAGAAAGGGTCAAAACAATTGGGGAAGCTTGGGATCTATTTAAAACTACGATCCTAGAAGCTCAAAAAATATATATTCCGCAGGTTAGGAAAGGCACAAAAAGGTATAGGAAAAAGCCTGCATGGTTAACAAACAGAGTAATGGAGGCTGTAAAAAGTAAAAAGAATTCCTTTAAGCAGTGGAAAGCTAGTCACAGTGAGGCTGATAAAACGGAACACAGGCTATGGCAAATAAAATGCAAGTCTGAGGTCAGGCAGGCAAAAAGGGAATATGAGGAGCATATAGCAAAAAACGTAAAAACCAACAATAAAACTTTCTTCAAATACATTAGAAACAGGAAACCAGCCAGGGAGGCAGTGGGGCCCTTGGACGACCAAGGGGTAAAAGGAGTATTGAAGGATGATAGGGAAATGGCTGAGAAGCTAAATGCATTTTTTGCCTCCGTCTTCACTGTGGAAGATGAGAAGTGCTTGCCCACTCCAGAACCACTGATTTCAGGAGGGGTGTTGGAAGACCTGAGTCAGATTGAGGTGATGAGAGAGG